AGTTTCAAAGTTTAAGTAAAAGAATGTTAACCAGGATGGAGCTTGTAAATCAATTTTAAAAAATGAACACCGGGTATGTTTTCCTTTTGTAATCTGGCAATAAACAAGTCACTCAATGCAGACCAGGAGGCATTAAAATTAAGTGTGACATCTGCTGTTCACTTTCTCTAAAGCACTTTTGGGGCATGCTTGATGGATCTTTTTTTATATACTTTTATATTATATTAATAGTACCTTTCCTTAACAATTTAACCAATCTAATTAGGTCAATAAGTATTTTTGAAAAACATAAAATCCCTTTTTCCATTCAACGGTTTTGGCAGTACTGTCACATACAATTGGCCATCTTTTACCATTTAAGTGAACTCAATTGATGGTTTTATATTTTGCATTGCCATGCATTTCCCTCTAGCTGCAATAATGATTTGACCCTTCACTTCTATTGCCTGTCTGTGAATATCATTATATGAATAACATCAATGGCAGCCTGTCAGTGTCTATTTCTGAGACCACAAGAACAGACTTTAAAAAAGCGGCCCATGTTTTCGTATGTCAGTCTGCTGTCAGCCAGACAGTGAGACGGGTCAGAATCACAGCAGACAGCCTGGCCTCCCCGGGCAAGAGATCGAGAGACAGAGACAGAGAGAGAGGAGAAAACACTCTGCTGTCTCTTCACAAGCTCAAGAGTGTGTTCTTAAAACCATTCACTCACACTTACTCTACTACATCACACCCATATTAAGCCTGCTTGAAGTCTGCATCTCTAGATTGGATCAGATGATTGAAAATACAGCCACAACATAAATAATGAATTCATTATCATCTATGGGTGAAACACAGTAATTAGTCTCATCGAGCAAATCATCCACTATGACAGATATGTCTCATTAGTGGCCCGGGCGTGAGAGTGTGCTCTCTCTCAGCCGATGACACCTCAGACAATGTTTGTGAAGAAAGGCATTTGAATAAACCCAAATGAGCTAGAGCCAGCCTGTGAGTGTAAGTCAAGAGCGATTTAAACACAGTCAGCGGTGGCTTTCATAATGTGACATCATTTGATGTCCCCACCACCTCTACTCCGTGTGTTTCTCTGCACAGGCCCGGTGCACCCAGGACGCGATCCAAGATACTATTTAAACTGAGCTGGATGTTGACATCACTGAATTCAATGATGAACTGTCTTTAACTGAAAAATTTGTGTTTACTATTGTCATTTTGCATTATTGACACTATTTTCCTAATTAATGCTGTTCAGTTGCTTTGACACAATCTGTATTGTTAAAAGCGCTATATAAATAAAGGTGACTTGACTTGACTTGACTTGACATCACTGAGACCATAAAACTAACACTTAATTTCTTAACACATGGCATCTTTATTTATATATTTATTTATTTTAATGGCATTTTTGGAGATCAATCAAAAAGAGCAACTTATTTGCATTCAGAAGTTGGAAGTTCAACAAAGCTTTTATAAGTAACTTATCATTTTCTGTTAATTAAACGTATTAGCATAGACTGAGTCACAATTAATGTTATTGCATTAGGCAATACAATCTGAAACCAGGTGCCATTTACTTGAAAAATAACAAGCACACTTTTCAAGCAAAGCATTCCACAGACAGAAATTTGTTAAGCTTCAAAACGAAAAAACTTAATGTAGAGAGGCCTATAGTTATAGTGTGACACTTTGTGGTTGTGAAATGTTAGTGAAATATTGTATTGCCTGGTTTCACAGACAAGGTTTAAGCCTAGTCCCAGACTAAAATGCATGTTTGAGCTGTGTTAACTCAAAGCAACTCGCACTGACATATCCTCAAATATATCAGTGGCATTAATTTGTATCAGTGTGCACACCAGTAAGGTTTTTTTTTTTTTTTTTTGCTGTCCAGACTTTCCAAAAGCTCTGAGAAAAGTAAACACTGGACCACACATTCTCAGCTGGACTATTCCAATGGTTGGCCATTTTCTTTGCAAACTAAAGCTGCCTTTAGAAGATATGTAAATATTTAAAAGATATAAACAACTAGATTTGAACAACTAGAAACAACTGTGCGTTGGATCCAATATGTGCACTATCCATTTCTGAACACCAAATATTGGTTTTGGACCAGACCTATAGCCTATCTTTTGTATACAGAATAGCTTGTATCAGATCACATTCGAAAGTGGCCCAAATGTGTTTTTGCTGTTTAAATACATGCAACAAGATTCTATATATGTTAGATATCTGTACAAAGACAAGTTATTTCACCTTAAGCACACCTTACTTGACAAAATATAGTGGATGTTGATTTAAAAAAAACAAAAAAAAAAAACAACAACAGACAAATGCAAAATTGTCCAGAGGTTAACAAGATGTATTCCCCTCATGTCTAATTTATGCATATTGTTTTAAACACTCTGATCCAGAAGCTCTACGGCTGAATGAGCAAGCAGTATGTTCAAGGGATCATTGAGCAAAACCTGGGGAGAGCATGCACACCTCAAACCTCAACTCAAACACTCTCGCTCTCTCAGGAAGGCTGGATAGAAGCTCTTGGGGGAATAATCCACGAAGTTAGATCATTTTAAACTCTCTCTCTTCATAGTGGGCAACAATAGACTTCGATGGATTTTGAGGAGTGATCCCTGAGTGTCTCTGAATGTAGTGTCTGTGTAGTAAATTCTCCATGGACCATCTAGGTTTTTGAGGTAAACACTAGTCTCTAAGTGTCATACCATTCATCTAAAATCCCTTTGAAATGATAAAGAGAGTGGGACTATAGTCTTCAGGACATAATAATCACATGGTGGAGGTGCTGTTTCATACCAAAACATTTATTCTTTCAGTGATGATAAACAATTTGGTTGTAATTTAAAAAGGTGAAATGGATCTTAGAGACAGAAGTCCAATAGCTTTTGACAGTCATTACACTATTTTTATGTCCCTGATCAAATACCGATTGTTACTGGATCTCTTAGCTCTTCATTTTTAGCAAAATTAAATTCCAGCAGTGAAATAATGCACCATGACATCATAGACCAAGCCATCAATGTTCCATGTGGTGCTTTGACCTGAGCTATAAATGGCACGAGTTCATGAGTATCACTCAGTAAAGTTCCGATTGAATAGTCTTGCTTCTGCGTAGCAAAGCATGCTAAATTCATGAGCTCTAATGCACTGGTTTCGATCACATGCATGACTCATTTTTAATGCACTCAGAGAATGAGAGCAGGAGGAGGACGTGGAGTGGGCAGCTCTGTGGAGTTTTAGTAGACTTAATGACTTAGCTGAAGAATTTAATATAAGGCATGAGGGGACACTACCTAAAGACAGCAGAAGAGGATGTTGGCAAAATTGAGTCACTTTATGCCGCCTTTTTGTTTTAAAATGTTCTACTGGGGAACTTCTCTGCCTGTTATCAGACAGTACAATGACTCTTTCTCTTGCTGAAGTTACTCCTGATTCAACATGACAAAAATTAAACTTCTAAAATTGCTTTCAGAAAACATTCAGAGGCTGGATTTCAATTCGATTAATGCTTTTTGGTGGACTAATGACATTTTGTGGGCTAATACTGCTGTACTGTCACAATGTTGCAAAATAATATGCTTTGTTGTAAATGCTTGGTTTTCAAAAACTGTTATGATGTTAGTTAGTATTGTATTATCAATTGCTAACTTTATTAATGCTGTTGTATTCATGCCGTTGCTCCATTGTTTCTCGATAGTAATCCTGGCTGTGATATAAATTTTTCTCCTTAATGTAAGCAACTGGAAGTGGAAACGTTTTTACTCTAGGTAATATCTATCTAGACTCCAGATGGTCCAAAATGCAGCAGCTAGAGTTCTTACTAGAACCAGGAAGTATGACCATATTAGCCCGGTTCTGTCAACACTGCATTGGCTTCCTATTAAACATCGTATAGATTTTAAAATCTCGCTAATTACTTATAAAACCCTGAATGGTTTAGCACCTCAGTATTTGAACGAGCTCTTATTGCATTATAGTCCTCCACCTGGCTTACACATAACACACTAATACGTTTCTAATATTCAAATCCATTAAAGGATTTTTAGGCTGCATCAACTAGAGCAACCGGAACCGGGAACACTTCCCATAACACCTGATGTACTTGTTACATCGTAAGAAGAATGGCATCTATGCTAATATTAGTCAGTTTTTTTCTTATTCCGAGGTCACCGTAGCCACCAGATCCAGTCTGTATCCAGATCAGATGGTCACTGCAGTCACCCGGATCCAGTCTGTATCCAGATCAGATGGTCACTGCAGTCACCCGGATCCAGTCTGTATCCAGATCAGATGGTCACTGCAGTCACCCGGATCCAGTCTGTATCCAGATCAGATGGTCACTGCAGTCACCCGGATCCAGTCTGTATCCAGATCAGATGGTCACTGCAGTCACCCGGATCCAGTCTGTATCCAGATCAGATGGTGGATCAGCACCTAGAGATGACCTCGACAGCCCTGAATGTCAGCGGAGACCAGGACAACTAGATGAGCCCCAGAGACAGATCCCCAGTGAAGACCTTGTCTCCTAGACGGCCACCGGGACAAGACTACAGGAACCAGATGAGTCCTCTGCACAATCTGACTTTGTTGCAGTATGGAACAAACAAATGGTTTCTCCCAAGGTTTTTTCTCAATTTTGTCACCGATGGAGTTTTGGTTCCTTGTCGCTGTCGCCTCTGGCTTGCTTAGTTGGGGACACTTAATTTCCAGCGATATTGTCGACTTGATTGCACAGATACTATTTAAACTGAACTGAGCTGGATGATGACATCACTGAATTCAATGATGAACTGAAAATTGAGTGTTTACTATTGTCCTTTTGCATTATTGACACACTGTTCTCCTATTTGATACTGTAAAGCTGCTTTGACACATTTGTATTGTTAAAAGTGCTATATAAATAAAGGTGACTTGACTTAATATGTCTTTTAACCCTAGGTATATATGAAGCTTTTTTTGATGTGTGTGCAATGTCTATGACTTACGATGTTTCTAGACAAGGTGCTGTGGATAGCTGGTATGTTTTTCAGGGTCAGAGATCCTCAAAACCTCTGCACAGGTAGAGAGAGCCACTGCAAAAATAAGAAGAAAAACAGTCTTTAAAATAATCGCCTATGCCGTATATATGTAGTAATAGTAGTAGCATATACTGTATTGTTTTTAATTGTTTATTGCTTTAAGGCAGTGGTTCTCTACTCCAGTCTTGGTGATCAACTGTTCTGCGCACTTTGTATGTCTCTGATCTGTGTTAAATAAGGAAGACATACAAAATGTGCTGAGCGGTGGATCACCAAGACTGTGGAGAACCACTGCTTTGAGAGATGTCATGCGAATATGATGGATGTAAATACAGACTTAATTTAACAAGTTACATCAATCAGACCACAGAAATTGAATTTGTTCTAATCACATAAGCTTGCATGCTGAAGCACACCCATGAGCCACTTACTGACACTGATGGAAACTGACCTTTGATGAACATTGTCATATATATATATATATATATAAGCAATAAAGTACGAAAAGCTGTGCTGTATCTCAGCATGAGAAAACATTCCTGTCTGTTTGTTTAAACCAGAGTGGCTCACAGCACAGCACGAGTCTTCCTAAGAAACATCATTAAAAAGTATAATTCAATGAACATACACTACCATACCTGAAACACAAAACTTATAAATAGTATATGCACTTCAGCAACTGTGGCCTTTCACAAACACACACATTTAGTAGGGGAAAATATATCATACAAATCAGCTGAAATACATTTGCTTTAAATTACTTTTTGACTGGTAATCTGGTGAAGTTGAAACTGTTCAGTAACTCAAAAGGAGACCATCTAGAAAAGCTAGTAAAGAGGTTTTGCCTCAAACACTTTGTTAATAAAGACAAGTTTTATATTAGAATAACTTTAGATTGTTATTTGGTAATACACAAGCATGTTAACCGCACTTTTTTGTTTGAAGTTTTATAGTTTAGCAGCCAGAGACTCACCGCGCCTTCAAAATAATCCAACTAAGGTGCATAGACCAAAAAAAAGTTTCCCAAAGGTGAAGATCTTGAAAAAAGTCCGCACACTCAAACGTCAAAGAGTCACAAGCGAGATGAAAACAATATAAGCAATTTACTGAATGAAACAAGGCAAACGTTGTTGACAAACTGTCAGCTCGGCATTGAAAATGGTCAACATGTGACCGAAACATTTGCCTTGTTTCATTCAGTGAATTGCTTATATTGTTTTCATCTCGCTTGTGACTCTTTGACGTTTGAGTGTGCGGACTTTTTTCAAGCTCTTCAAGTTTTATAGTTTGAAATATTGAGTAAGCTGGCTCACAATTTACTAGTTGATTGCACTGACCATGGTCTTGGGGACTGGGTTCCAACTTCCATCATGCTACGTGACTCACAGATAATGAGATTTAAGGCCGCAGAAACTAATCGATGAAATCAATAATGAAAATAATTGAACATGAATTTGATTATCCATTAATCATGTCTGCGCGCTGTTCACAAAACATCTACCAGTCATGTCACTTTACAGCAGTGAATAACACATTTCTATGGACAAAACGCATCTGAAATACTGTATAGCAGAGGACACAAACCAAGCTGCTGTGGGAAAAGTGGACAAAACAAGTTATCCAAAACATGACAATGCTTTATATTATGCTTTTCAAACAAGCTCGTGGGCATATAATACAACGAGGCTTTCCCTTTCAGGCACTCTGGATGATGTGTGTGCTGTTTAATGCATCTGGATACCTGTTTTTCTCAGCACATAACTTATACATAACATTTTACGGTTATATCCTTATCTGTAAGTGTTAGGACATGCCACAAGCATTTCCATTTTGTTTTTTTTTCCAATAAGTTCATCCTGACAGTAAGTGAGTATCCATTAAACTTCACAGATGTCACTGAACAAGCACTGGTGTGAATGTTTCTTTGGGATCCGGGGCTTCTAACAGCTGCTGAAGTGATGCGATGGCTTGGCTGGATGGAGGTTTTTATTCACAGTGCATTTACACCGCTGTGCTACACTTCAAAATCACTACCTTTAAATTTACAGCTATTTTCTGCTATCCAAAGTATATCAACTTGTCACGGAGTACCTCAGGGATTGGTTCTTGGACCCCTCATTTTCTCCATATAGAGTACAATACTTTGCTAGGATCCATTATCCATTATTACCATCCAGCTAGGATCATCAACAAGTATATCATCATCAATAATCTCAACCAGACTAGTCACAAATCTCGGGGCAATCTTTGATAACAAGCTGATCTTTAAAGACCACCCTGACAGCACGGTCATGCAGGTTTGAATTACACAACATCAGGGAGATCAGGCCCTTTCTGCACAAATTCTCATCCAGACTCTTGTCATTTCTGGGCTGGACTATTGCAATACTCTTCTGGCTGGCCTTCCATCATGTTCAATTATACCTCTACACATGATCCAGAAAGCAGCAGCATGACTGGTCTCCAATGTGCCTAAAAGTGCTCTCATCACACATCTCCTCATCTTTCTGCAACTTACATCAAGTTTAAGACATTGATGCTTCCATTCAGAACAGCAGGTTTAATCTGACTGATAGGGGTCAAACAGGTTACTATTTGCCAGATAGTTTGGATGAAAACCAATCAGCCCAGAGCTTTGGTTATAAAGAAAAAAGGTGAAGTGTAGGTGTAGAAATGAGATATAGGCCAGAAGATGAGACAATATCTCTGGGACAAAAGGAAAGGGAATGGTATCATGGGGGCTTGTTTCCCACTGCTTGAAATGCTGGAGTATGTTTTACTTGCAGCAGAGATGATGACTGGTGCAAATGTATCTAGGGTTTTGGAGAAATGAGTTGCAGATGATGACCACTTTGTTTTGAAGTGTGTGAAGTCATTAGCAAGAACTGTGGATGGCAGAGTAGGAGGAGGAGGCATGAGAAGGTTGAAAAGGCTTGTGTGGTTGATGATCGCAGTGTTGATTCCAGAATGGAAGAATGACGTCTTTTTTGTTTTGATATTGGAATAAGGTTTTCTTTGATTTTCGTTCTGCTATATTTCTGTCCTGCTACTCTAATGAGTCTCTGGGATGCATGGGTTGATCTGTTTTAAGACTACAGGGCAGAGGGTGTGCAGTGTTAATGAGATGGTGGATTTCAGGGAGGCAGCTTGTGAGAAATAGTTGATATGAAGTGCGAAGAGAGCTAAAGAGGTGAGAGAGGGGTGTGAGGCAGTCTGAAGGTTCCTTACACATAGCCATGGATATGTGGGAGAAAAAGGAATCGGCCAAGGGGAGTGTTAAAGAGGGCCTGTCTACACTTGCGGTTTTGGCCATTTGGGAGCTTATGCACATGACAGGAAGTAAGTGTGCAAGACTGTCCAATGCCTGAAAAATGCTAAAACTCAGTGCCCTTATAGCACTAAATCTCTAATACCTCTTACAAAGGGTATTCGAGGGAAAAAGTATTTAATGCTAAGAGTTTTCTTTTTGAACAGCCCAAACCACAAGGAATCTTATTTTTTCAATTCTGATTTGGGCCACTAAAACAGATACAGGTATTATGTTTTGCAGTGTGACCTGGGAGTCACTCAAAATATGTTACATTACGTAACCTATCCGCGTCAGGCCCTGATCAGTCTGTTGATATTCATTCTGTTATAACAACCAGCTGGATGTACATTATCCCAATTATTGCATAGATACTGTCAGACTCTGGGCCAGGTTTTGTGTGTGTCTTTGCTCCCTATGTGCGCCGTCTTCCAGTTTCTCTGTCTCGTGTTTTGAATTCATTGTTCCCAGGTGTTTCCTATGTTGATTGTCTTATTAGTTCCAGGTGTCCCTTGTCTTCCCCTCATCAGTTCCTGTGTATTTAAAGTGTGTTCTAGTTCTTGTCCTTGGTCAGTCATTGAACGTCATCCTGTCCTCCTGATGTGTTGAGTCCTGTGATCCCCAGCTTTTGTTAATAAAACCCTTTTGATTTATTCTACTCCATGTCTCCTCGCTCCTTCGTTCCCGTTTTCCTCGTGTGTGTGAACCGTGACAGAACGACTGACCAAAACAGTAAGTGGCGCTCCTTCTCCCGTTTTTTATTTTCGTTTTTTGAACAGTCTTTTGGTTTTCCTTTTTCTCCCCTGTTCGTCTCCGCGGTACGAAGACCGCCCAGCTGTGAAGCGTGCCGGCCGCGCCGTTGTCAGTTGATTGTCTTATTAGTTCCAGGTGTCCCTTGTCTTCCCCTCATCAGTTCCTGTGTATTTAAAGTGTGTTCTTGTCCTTTGTCAGTCGTTGAACGTCATCCTGTCATCCTGATGTGTCGAGTCCTGTGATCCCCAGCCTTTGTTAATAAAACCCTTTTGATTTATTCTACTCCATGTCTCCTCGCTCCTTCGTTCCCGTTTTCCTCGTGTGTGTGAACCGTGACAGAACGACTGACCAAAACAGTAAGTGGCGCTCCTTCTCCCGTTTTTTATTTTCGTTTTTTGAACAGTCTTTTGTTTTCCTTTTTCTCCCGTTTGTCTCCGCGGATGGAAGACCGCACTGTGAAGTGTGCCGGCTGCGCCATTGTCAGGCCCGCCAGCCGGGGCTATCTCCAGCCCGCTGGCCTCGCCGAAGACAAGCCCGCCGGACGCTCAGAACCAGCCGCGCCAAGTCAAATTCGCCGGCCCCGCATATGGCAAGCCCACCGGACATTAATGTGGCAAGCCCGCCGGCGGTTTCTCTGTCAAGCCCGCCAGCCAGGGCTATCTCCAGCCCGCTGACCAGGCCGATGGCAGGCCTATCAGCCGGGGCTATCTCCAGCCTGCTGGCCACGCATATGGCAAGCCCGCCGGACATTAATGTGGCAAGCCCCTCAGACATTCAACACTCCAGTTCGCCGACCACGCCTTTTCCCCCCGATCCAGAAGAGGATGCTAGGGGTGAGGAGAAGGGTGTCGGCTTCAGCCCCAGAGCTCGCTCCAGTGTCGGCCCAGGCCCCAGAGTTCGCTCCAATGGGGACCCAGACCACGCCTGTTCCCCCCGATCCAGAAGAGGATGCTAGGAGTGAGGAGAAGGGTG